TTTCATGTGATATCCTTTATTTTATCTTTTATTTTATGTTGATGGGCCTCGCTTAATGGGCCTGTTATTTGTTCTTATTTTATTTTCTTTATGTAACTGCCAAGWTGGCCGCCCACTTAAGGGTATACTTGTCATCATCAATTTTTTAGAGATTAATAAAATAGGGTTAGAGGAGAAGGGTGATTAATTTGACCTCTTCTTCTCTTACCTCTTCTCTTCGCCATCTTCCTCTCTTATATAATTATTCAAATATGTTCTATTCTGCTAATCACTAAGTTTAATCTTGATATTAGAGGACTGATTTACATCTAATTTTATTCACGCTGAATAAACAAATAAAATTTTGGACCAAATAGATACAACCCAAAAAAGTTTTTAGTTTATTAATAAAAATTGAAATTGCACTTAATTATGTATTAAAATCCATTTAAATTATATTTAAAATGAATAGATAAGTAAAAGTTATACAATAATATAATATTTAGATTTACTACAATAAAAATTATATTAGGACTAACTATACATTTTGAAAGTAATGCTTGAGTTGGACTTGGACTACATTGACTTAGTCAAGAATGTTAAAGGGTTCTTTCTGCTACAGTTTTGTTTAACAAAGCCTGTGCACCACATGGGTCCCAACTAATAATTTATGTCAAAAATGAATTTTTCTTATTTTTTGGAAAAGATCTGAAAATTTAAAAAAGTAATTTATTTCATATATTCTAAATTGATTTTCATGTTATGGAAAATATAAGATGGATTTACCAATGATATATCAAATTCATGGATATCAAACAACAATTTAATGTATCTTGTAGTGAATTTTTAGTAGATTGGAATGCTTAAACATTTCCTATTGCATTAATAGTAAAGTTATTGTATGATATCTAGATGTTCTAGACTCCCAATATTGTTCATTGTAATGTATCTCTCCATGTAAACTACTAAAATGTGCATTTGTCATGTATTTGTACTTTATCCATGGTTATTTCATCTTTAAATTTATTGTCATTTATGTATTTGTGGGATTTATAAGAGTTTCCCCAATGTATTTGAGCATTTCCATATCTTTCCATTGCATCCATGTGTATCCAAAGTGTATTGTGATACATATCTGTATCAAAGCTTACCAATATAATACACAACGCCAAAATTTTGAACCTTGAGTTAAACAACAAATCTTAAGAAAGCAAGATTTATAAGAATTATCTATTGCCCAGAACACAACAAAAAATGAGTAACATATATAGATTGACTTAAAGATACAAGAAGCACCTGGAAACCCCAAAACAAGGAATATATATATCTTGTAATGATACTGGATTTCCCAGTAATATTAACAGCTTGAATGTAGATTCCGTAATTAAAAGGAGCATCTTTGGAAAAACAATTATTTGCATCTGTATGGTTTTTCCAGTCATTCCATTCTAGTAATGGCTCCATTTTTGGATCACCATGCCCGCAATCTATGAAGTCCCTGCAATAACCAACTCGAGAAGAATTCCCCATTCCATAAGAATCACATGCATCTCTAAGGCATTGATTGACCCTCTGAAAAAAAAAAAATAGAAAGAACAAATTAGCAAACCAATTTCAGCATAAATGTTCAAAATGATTAAAATAAGTCATTGCAAATTGTCTGACTCAAAGCAAGTATACAAGTAACATGTAAACAAATTATATGTGAAAATAGAACAAATATAGAGCTAGAGGTATCAAATGCATTAGGGTTGCATAGTGCTGACAGGCCCGGGTTCATTCTTTTTTATGTATGTTCTAAATTTGTTATTAGGCCCATGGGCTATTTAGTTTATATTGAATTTGTTATTAGTTTCCTCCTCGTTAAGGGAATAAGTGTAAATTGTCTTCTCCCTCATTTTTCCCCTTATACTATTCGTTTCAGATCTCTTCTCTTCTCTTGTACATTGCATTCTTTCTTGAACGATATCTATTGTGAGTTCAGTTTATTTCATGCAAGTTTCAGATCAGACGATTGCATGGAAGAAAGAAGGCTGAGCAATCATTTACATTTGGCCTAATTCTTAGTTTTTGGAGTTCTGGTTGCTGCCCAAGGTAATGTTCTTGGAGAATTTCCTAGAAATAAGAAGAATCAGAGAAATAAAGGGAGTTTTTCAATTGGAAGGATACATTTTTATCCTTTGAAATGGAAATTGACACTTATTCAAGTTATTTTTCTTCTATAAGAAGATCAATTTCCACAAGATAAAGTGTAGAGATCTCTGCAGAGATCAATCTAAGATTTGCTCTTCCCAAGTTAAGGGCTAGGGTTTCAGAGATGGGACTCTTACTAGAGTTATTTTTATTTTGTGACTTGATTTGATTGGGTTTCTTTCACATTGTATGTGAGATCAATCTAAGCTGGAAACCTTTCTTGTTCTTTTTGAGAGATCGGTTAAAGAATTTCTCCTTCCTAGAGTTACCAAGTTAGATTTTCCCTTGGGAAGACCTTTTGTTGCCCAAAACTCTGATTTATACAACCCATAAGTGTTTACTTTTCATTATTTTGGTGTTTCGAATTGTTTGAAAAAGACATGGAGGCTAGTGGGAGTAATCAGAAGTCTACTGGTGATCCTAAAATGGTTCTGGGAGGATGCAGTGATGGAGCAAGGTGTAGCTGAACGCTTTGGCTGTTTAGCAGGCTGTTCTACGCAAGTAACAAAATACATGGGGCCTGCACCTTTCACAGTGGGGTCCCTGAATTTTTTACTGGTGTGGAACCTCATCATTGGTTCCACAGCCTGCTGAACAGCCAAAGCATTCAGCTAATCTGAATCTGCAGTGATGATATTCTTATTAATAAAATATGGTTCCAAGAGAAACTAGAGATCTCCAAAATGTAGGACAGATTTCTACAGCAAGACTAGATGGCACTAACAACCTAGAATGGTCTTAGCCTATAAGAATTGGCAATGGTGAGCATGGAAAACTAAGTTACATCACTAGGAGTTTAGTACAGCCTAATTCCAAGGACCCTAGTTATCCCCATTAGATGCAAGAAAACTATATGGTTATGCTGCGATTGCTTAATTCCATTCAGCCACACATTAGTGTCAGAGTCAGATCGAAAAGACAGAGAGAGAAGAGAACGCAACAGATTGGTAGGAGTGTCACATGGTCACTGTTGATACCCTAAAAGAGAGATTTATATTAAAGAAAGTAAAAGGACAAATCTGCCCTTAGTGTATAGAAGAAAGAGTACATAAAATAGATGTACAACAAAAGAAGTAAAAGTACAAAAATAGTCTTGTGGCTAGATCTTCTCACTACCTCTACACTCCCCTTGAAACTGATGCCTAGGAATAAGCATCAGTTTGTCCATGAGAAATAGATGTCGAGCCCGAGTCATTGCTTTAGTTAACAAGTCTGCCAGTTGGAGCCTAGAGGAGACATGAGGAAGAGATATAATACCCTCAAGAAGAAGAGCGTAGATGAAGTGGCAATCAACTTCTATGTGTTTAGTGTGCTCATGGAAGACAGGGTAGGAGGCAATTTTGGTTACATTGACATTGTTTGCATAGAGAGGCACAAACGGTGATGGTTCATTAAGCATGTCAAGTAGAAGAGCCCGGAGCCATATGATTTCACTACACACAGAAGACAGCTTTGCATTCAGCTTCAATGGAAGATTTTGATATAGTAGGTTGTTTCTTACACTTCCACAAGATAAGAGAGTTGACTAAGAATACACACCAGCCAGTAGTGGACCATTGGGTGTTAAGGCAACCGGCCCAATCAATATCAACATAAGCCGTAAGGTTAATAGGGGATGAAGAGGAGAAAAATATCCCATATGATAAGGTGCCTCACACATGTCTAAATGATCCGATGAACTGCAGATAAATGAGGTTGTCTTGGAGAAGACATGAATTGGCTCACCAGTTGAACTGCATATGATATATCTGGCCAATTCATGGTGAGAGAGATTAAACTGCCCACTAGTTGACAATAAAGGGTAGAATCTTCAAGGAGAGAACCATCATCTTTGCTGAGTTTAAATTCAATTCTAGTGGGGTGTCCACAATCTCGGAATCACTGAGATTGGCCAGTTTAACTAGATCAGCTGCATACTTTTGTTGGTTAACAAAATAGCCCCAAGAAATATGTCAAAGACCCCAAGTCCTTCATCTTAAAGGATTCACCGAGTAACTATCGTAGCTCAACAATTCCTTCTACACCATCCCCTATAAAGATCGTCATAAAGAAGTAAGATCGTCACTTCCTGCTTTCGCCTTAAAGTCAATAAAGAATAATCCGAAGAACTCTGGATAAATCCTGCATCAGTGATAACAGATCTGAACTTCTCAAATCAGGCTCTAGGAGCTTGCTTCAAACCATAGAGTGACTTCTTTAGACGAAAAACAAGCTGCATGTTTGTACAATATCCAAGAGGGGGCTTCATATAGACTGTCTCCTTCAACTCCCCATGAAGGAATGCATTCTTTACGTCCATTTGAATGGATTGTCCACTGTTTGGCTACAGATATAGCCATTAGAAGTCGTACAGTGGTCATTTTTGCTATAGGAGCAAAGGTCTCCTCATAGTCTATCCCATATTCCTGTTTATAGCCTTGTGCAACCAACCTAACCTTGTATCTGTCAAGACTCCCATCAGATTTCATTTTCACAGAATAGACCCATCGGCTCCCTATGAGAGATATCTCAGGTGGAGCTTTGACCAAGTCCCAAGTGTCATTCTCAAGGACTCGGATCTCAAAATCCATGGCATCTTTCCAATGTGGTTTTGATACAACCTGCTGGTAAGATCTGGGAATGCCTGTAGTAGATAAAACATCAAGGAAGGATCTATGGTCTAGTGAAAAACCATAACGGTTATGTGGGCGAGAATCTAGAAGAATGACGTAAAGTGGGTACAATGGGTTCAAGGGGTGGATCAGGTGCACTTACTAGGGCAATTGGAGTGACTGGATCAGTAGCTGGTGGTGGAGCAGGGGGGGACATTGAGACTGAAGAAGATTGTTACTTCCTGTAGGTCTAAAGTTTCTACAGAGGTGGCATGGGTATACTTGAGGTACCTATAGAATCAAAATTGCGTAACAAGGAAGTGGAAGGAGTTGGGAATTTTACAATATGTTCAAAAAAGGACGCTCTCTCAAGGAAAACTACATTACGAGAGATTCGAATATGTCAGACCAAAGGATCATAGCAAAGGAATCTTTTATGTTCAGAATTGTACCCCATAAAGGCACACAAAGTTGTTTGTGTGGTTAACTTTGTGTGTTCATGAGGTGGAAGGTGAACAAAACAAGCACAACCAAAAACCCTAAGTATAGATAGATCTGGAGGTTTGTGGAAGAGAGATTGGAAAGGAGAAGAATTATTTAAAACAAATGAAGGAAGACGATTTTTGAGATACACAGCATTGCTGGCCGCCTCCACCCAAAACCAAGAAGGTACATGGGAATCTTGTAGAAGTGTTCTGACTACGCTCAAAATATGCCCATTCTTTCTTTTTGTTACCCTACTTTGTTATGGGGTACCTGGATAGGATTTCTGGGATTGAATTCAGTGTTGTTTTAAGTTTGGAAATCCCCATCAAAATACTCTCCCCCTGAATCCAATCATAGCACACATATCTGAGCATCAAATTGAGTAGTAACATAAGCATGAAAGTGCTTAAATACAGAGTAAACTTCAGATTTCTTTCAAAGTAAATAAATCCAAGTGAATCCGGTGCAGTCATTAATAAAGGTTACAAACTACTTATAACCCAGCCGTGAAACAACAAGAGATGACCAAACATCACTATGTATTAAATGAAAAAGAACTGTAGCATGCTCAGAGTGAGAAAGAAAAGGTAAAATATGGCTCTTACATAAACCACAATTAATGCAATTTTTATTAACATTCTTAAAGGAAATAACAAAAATAGGTAAGCTACCAGAAGCAAATAACTGATCAAGTTTCTTAGAAAACGAAGGTGTTTATGAAGGGATGAGGGATCCATCGTATGGACGCCCAAATCTTGCGGAATAAAGGGGCGAATTTCAAAAATTTTTCTCTCCCTTCAACTGGGAATCGCATTCCCAATTTAGAAAATCACATTTTCAAGGATCAATCTTGAACCATAAACTGAGCCAGATCTGAACCAAAAGGAGTAGGAGAGGATTATACCTGATACGGAGAAATAATATCTCCCAACGAAGGTGTTCACGCCCAAGGAAGGATCCAAAGACTGCTCCCACTGAAGATGGTGCAGTGTAGAATGGAGCAGAATCAGTAGTGTTCTTCTCCAAGAACTCTGTCCTTCGCAAGAAACAACAGGATGGCAYGTRARCACAACTTCCAATCAATTCTTTCACAAAGAACTGATGTCAAGATCGAATCTTGACTTCTCCCACAGTGTTGGAGATCGAACTGGAAGTCTGGCGACCGCAGGAATGAGGCGCCAAGAAAGATTTTCACAGGGATTGCAGAAATCTTTCTTCTGTGATTTTCAGCTCTGAAGAGGATGTGAGTATCTGTCTCTAAAGGCTGCCGCCCCCTCCTTTTCTAATCCTAAAAGATCAGCT